TGTCCTTTGGGATATATTAGATGTTCACTTCCTTATAGCCGCTCCGCTGGTAGTACCTTGACCAATTTAGAAAATTATTTGACCTTTGCAGCATTTTATTTATATGTTGATTATGTGCGCAGTGGCGGAACTGTATTATTTTTTGTAATAGTATACGAGTTTTCGATAACTACTAATATTCTGTGATTTTCAGACTGGAACAACTGCTATAAGCAGCTTAAATATACCAAGTTAATCCAATTTTTGAACTACTAGAACCCCAGGCAGTGTGTTCCACAATCTCGACACCCTAGGAACGAAGAAGTGGTCGTAGTTGCCAGTTCTGGATGTGCGAAGTGCGACAAGGTTAGGATGAGAGGCAGAAGCTCCATCTGACTGGCTCAGGGGCGCGGCGGAGGCAAGTCCGTTGGCATAGTGGTAGAAGAAGGCTAGATCTCCGACTGTCCGCCGACGTGAAAGAACCCGAGACCGTCCGTAAAAGAAGTTTTATCGATCAATCAAACAGCCTTCCTTTGAACAGCATTAAGTATGATCTGTGAAGACCGGATGGCAGCACACCAAAGGCTGGATGTTATCTAGGCCAGAGTAAGGAAGTTGTACGGGGACAAATACTTCTTAGCCCTAAACAAATAGCACAAATTTTTAGCAACTGCTGTCGCGATTGTCTAGATGCCGTAACGAATGGCTCCTTGGCAGAGTTCGACCATGCTAGTGCATTTCTTGTTGGTCAGGGTAAAATGCTGTTTCGGAAGCATTACATTGTATCAGCTTGTTGCGTCCCCAAGCACAGACAACTTGTAAGACATTGGGCGAAAATTCTAAGGTAGATTCTTTGGACTATTCTGAGGCAATTCTGTCCCCAGCGAAGCTATTAGAAATTGGATTTTCTTAAATATCTGTTGAAACATAAACCACAATGTATAATTTAACGAGATTTTAACGCCACAATAATCGGTTGAGTACTCACATTATCAAAAAAAAACCAATGTGGCAGGTTTCTAAAACAAAGTTAGGTTCTTCCCTCCCACTTCCTTGGAATACGTCACTATTATTTTCAAAGAACTCTCGAAAGTCACAAAGGACCCCACATAAGACATATAGAAAATGATTTCCAGTTGATTTGCCTAAAAATGCAATCTAATATATCTCTCGCCTAGCCGAACAAATTTCTCATGGGACCAAAGCAATCCTATAATTGTTATTCTGAAAGAAATATCTCATTTAAAAATTTTGTAGCAAGGTGTTGGGAGGTAGGTGTCATGTTGATCTTCATCATGATCATTAGAGGATGGTTTCCTGAAAAGTGCAAATGCAGCACTTGCACTCGAAGAATGCTTATTAGACTAAGTCAGCGTCTAAGTGGTTATCAATTTCATAAGCTTGTATATAATTAATTTGAACTTTGGAAAAGGCTGCAGAGACAGTCTATATGTCATTAAAATAGTTCATTTAATATCTGTCGTTTCATGTATTCACTTGGATAAAGTAAAATTATAAGTTGCAACAACTTAAAGCAATTTTCATACTTGTGCGCTTTCTTTTGCATCTTAAAAATGAACATGACCTTGATCTAGTCCAGTATTAACAGCTAAGAATCAACTTTCTCTTAAATTGATCTTGTATGGATCATGGATAAGATCAGCATGCCACCCCCAGCACCTCCATACAAGGTATTATTATGAAATACTTCTTTCAGTAGACCGAATCTCAGGGTTTTTGGTCCAAGAACTACAATCAGCACACTCACCATTTTTTGCAAATATGCAAAACTTTATCCCCCTATTTCTCAGAAACCGCTCAAAGGTTTGGTTTGGCTCATGCGAACTTTTGTGCAAGAATGTGAGTAATACATGATACTGAATTTTTAGACAAATCAACGGGGACCCCTTTTCCACATGTTTTGAGTGGCAAGGGAACCGGCTAGCCATAAAACGCAATATTGCTAATTTTGTTAATCCTTGTTTAATAATGGCGAGCTTATCCTCTAACAAGAAAATGTATTCTTGTTTATTTCTGATTGTAGATAGCGATACTCATTCCGGTATGTTGGTTCCACCACTTTGAAAGTGTAGTGATTCGCGATTGGAAAAACACGATCATAAAGAAGCATGGATCACGCTTATGGGAAAAGTAAATTCGGAGGGGTTGTTCCAAGGTTTGAAGTTGTGTTCTCCAAGTGGTGCTAATTGAATGTTGCAACAACTTGATTTAAAGGTCGAGAAGTCTTAGAAGAAGGATATTTAAGCCTTTTAAAGCAAGATCGAAACATGCTTTGAATGAGTTAATTACATCACAAATGGCTCAAAGGGATTGCGCATTCAAGGGGGTGGGGCTTTGGGGCTCAAGCCTCTCACCTTCTC